CCTTTTAGTGTTCTGCACTTAATCTAAGATTTGATTTGATTTTTGGTGTTTTAACGCCACTTTTAAGCACCGCTTTTGGGCTATTTCGTGGCGGCCAGTTTTTATTGGTGGAGGAAGCCGGAGTGCCCGGAGAAAACCACCGACCTTCGATAGGAAAACTGACAATCCTAGTCAATTAAGATTGGAGTCGAGTGCACCCGCACAAGCAGGGTTCGAACTCACAACCTCAGTGTTGACTGGCTAACTACTTAGACCACTCGGCCACCAAGGCCCCCTTAATCTAAGAACAAAACCTTCAAATATCAAGTCATCTTCTTTAAATTAACTGTATTTCGTTCCTCAATGATCTTCAACTTTGTACTTTATATGGCCTTTTAGGGATGTTTGCTACTCTATTTCAAAATAACAAGCTTTTTAAAAGACAGTCATAAGTTGATAGTATATAAATAAACTAAAAATGCAGAAAAAATGAAGGGTCAGTGTGTTTGTTTTTGAGATATAAGCCACTGAAAATTTGGCAGGGAAATAATTCTCTCTAGATTTTTCGTACATTTAACATTATCACCTGTTTTCTTTCAAAAACGATGAAAAAGTAACAAGGATTTTATAAGATTTTCAAAGATGATATTTTAAACTATATGTAATCATATTATGGAGAGAAAAGTAAGGGTTAGTGGGCAAAAATTTGTAATGGCACTACATGGATAAAACCAGAGAATTCTGAATATCTGGCAAAAATTCAAAAACAAGAGGAGCGAACATCCTTAACATTTTTGATTTGAGCGTCACTGATGAGTCTTAGGTTGACAAAACCAGCTGCTGACACACAAAATTATAAGCCTGGTATCCCTGATGAGTTTTTTGAAAATTATTGTTGCTATTTTTATCAAAACAAGATTTAATATTTCTTAATATTATTAGCTTGTCATGATGGCTTCGGTTAAAATTAATAATTTAATATCAAACATTTGGATATTTTTTAAAAACCTAGCACCAAACTTTTGCAATGTCACAAAACAAAGATATACATTTTCCTGTTAAAGATAAGTTGAAGATACTAAAGAGATTGACATCTCAATGACAAGAAACAAAACACAACATAAAAATCTAAAAGATTGAGCAAAATGAACCCCACCAAAAACTAGGAGTGATCTCAGGTGCTCCTGGAGGATTAGCAGATCCAGCTCCACATGTGACACATGTCGTGTTACGTCTATAAGTTATATCAAGAGTTTAGGCATCAAATAATAGCAGATTGTTAATTGACTCTTATCTAACCCTCATACATCACCAAATTTGTAAACCATGGGTCATGTAAATTTTAACACACACAAGGAAAGCAAGTGAAAAATCACTTTTTTGTAGATATAAAAGGGTCTGGATGGGGGTCCTTCAATTCTATATTCTTTAATTTTTAAGGTCATTTTCCTTTATTCTTTACATTTTTTGCCAATTATTCTCTATTCTTTATATTTTAGCACCCCATTATTTCCTATTTTTCTATATTCTTTACTTTTTGGGCCCATTTTTTTCAGCAGTATTCGCCCATTATTCTCTATTATGTAAACCCCATCCAGACCCTAATATAAGGAAGTACAGGTATATCTATGATGAAATTCTACACACCATAATTTATGTAAATCTTCATTGCTCTTTATTCTCAATTCCTCTATCTTCCATGGTCGACCTGTAAAAGAAAGTGATTGTCACAAAACTGAATCTATGAAATACAAATGTATAATAAGATTTTAATTACCAAATATTTTAATAGTCAGATGATATGATTTTGAAATCTTTTTTTTTTTTAGGAGATGTTGATTTAAATGTTTAACTTCACCTAAATCTCTGTTTGGTTATAGCTTGAAAATGTCTATAACTGTCAAAACAATGTTATGATACTTTAAACTAGTTTCCTGTTCTTTATTTGTTTGAGGTGAAACAGTCTTTTGTTTTTTGGGGGGGTTATTTGAATAGCACTGATCTTTTTCATTGTCACATTTTGGAAGAAAATTTTTGATTAAATAGTTTTTTGTTTATTTTGTCCAGTGGCAAATATTTTATGCATATTTAGAACAAGAAAAATTAATTCAACTGCCAATTTCTGCAAAGAAGGTCAATTAGGATGAAGGGTTGGGAGATCTAGACACCAACTGGAAAAAGTGGACATGTAAGAAAGTTGGCAAATATTTTGCTTTGCAATTAACATGATTAAGGAGACAATTTTTTTTATTTACAAAAGAGGGCAGAAAATACAAATTCAAACTCATAAGTTGAAGACAAACTGACAACACCATTGCAAAAATAAAAAAAACAAAATAAGACAAAAAGACAAAAAGACAAACAACAGTCTACAAATCACAACATACAATGACATAGAAATCTAAATACTGAGCAACAGAAACCTTGGCAAAAACCAGATGCAAGTGTGGCTCTTTTAACACTTATAATCTTTGCCACAGATCTAGAGAATAAAGCTTGAAATCATTTCAGTATCAATTCTCAACAAAATGTGATTTGATGATGATCTAAGGGAATTCAGAAACAAAACTGGACAACAGAAAACATCAAACAAGGTATGAAGCATCCAGGCCTTCTACCTTCTGAAATATAAAGCTTTCTTCAAATAGTTTACGCTGCCGTCCCCGGAAACTAATACCTATGTCTGGCATTCTGCGACCAAAGTCGCAGGCGAAACAAAAAAGGTTTAAATACCACAATAATGTAAAATGTATTACCTATAGGATTTTCTACACAGAAAACAACATATACATAGTTACCCGTTTTAACTTCTTTTTCTTTCCAATTAGCCTTGTCATCAAAAAATTCCATTAAATCATAATTCTTACTTGATGTATGAAAACTGGAACATGTTATACACCTAAAATTATATAACATGTACAAATAGTCTGTAATTCAATAAAAAGAAAAAGATAGAATATGTAAAGGTACGAGAGATTGGCACTTTTCATGATATTGTTTGGTTGATATAACACTGAACTTAACTATACGTAATCTTCAATGTTATGTCATTGTTAATTGTAATTGGTATCAGGTACATGTACTTCCTGCCCTAAACCAATCCGGCTTGAACTCAATCCAGCCCAAGACGTTCCGGCTCCATAATAAAATAATGAGTAATTACTATAAAAGTTGGAGAGTTTTTGTGAAGTATTTGATACACATTATCGCTATCTATTCCAATACAGATAAGATCTGAAATTACACAACTTTTCAATGACATCACAATCCAGTTGAAGCTATCTGGGGCCCTGTTTGAACAATGTATTGTGCATAAAACTTTTAAAAGAGACATCTTTACACCATCGTAAACACTTCAAACAAAGCATTTTCATGACTTTAAGTTGTGTTTTAAAGAAATGGATCATGATCTATCAAAATTTCAAAATGTTCACTTTCTAAATTTTTTCCTTCCTCAGCTCATAACTGATGACCTATGTTTTTTCGACACTTGACCCAAACAGGACGTTGTCTAAGTGAATATTTTTTCCAGACTGGACTAAATAGCGATAAGGTGTATTCATGAGGTTGAGTGGCAATTTGCACATGTAAAAAATTGAATAAATTTCAATGATAAGACAAAAACTTATTAGGAACAATATCAACAAGTAATTAAACTGTTTAACGAAGGGATTCGGCGAATCAAACAATATTTCTCAATTTACCTTATGTAGTTTTTATAGCTTTAAAAGAAAATAGTTTGTGTGCATTAGCATGGGGATCAGCTGGGGTTTATAAACCAATTGTTAGTACACCAGTTGAAAATATTATTAAGATCAAAGTCATATGAACGCTGATTAATGTTGATTTGTGATTGCACTAACTTCTGTAATTTATAATTCTATTACAATTCTGCATACCTCATATTCTTGTTATAATAACTTCTAATAACATCGTTTAATATCAATGCTATATATATACAGCATAATCATCACTACTCATTTAAGATGATAAAATGATTTTAATACTAATATTTTACGCTAAAAAAATAATATATATGACATGTATGATATGAAATCTAAATATCAATATTTAACATGTTTAAATTAAATAAAACAATTCCTCTAACAAAAATTGTATATTTTAATGAGCATCAACATGATCAAAGGCACACTTTTTGATCATCCACCTTTGCTATTGTTCATAAAATTCATTAATATTGTAAATGTAGTGTGTTTTCTTATACAGACTTTGTCGTCTTCTCATTGTCTACCCAAGTTCTGGGATATTGGACAAACTTACCCATGTACGTAACTATGTCAATATAAACAAGATGTTTATTTAGAATACATATGGTTGAACACAATTTACATACAATAAATATACAAATATGGTGGCAGCCATTCTACTTGTCATTGTAAAAGATCCTTAATTTCAAATCCAAACAGAAGACTGCCGTGAACAGAGTGAGTGACGTCATATTTATAGTTTCTAGCGACAAGCCAGGCCGGGATGTCAGGCACATGCAAGAAACAGGAAGTAACCTGAAAAGAATACCTACATGGCCAGACTCAGGAGAAATAGTTACGAAACTATAAATATACTAACTTTAACTAATTTCCATGTGCTTGAAATTTTTACCCCTTGTAAATATATTTTTAATGGGGTCGAATCATCTTAGGGCCGAAACGACTCGGGACAGATCGATATGGGCAAGATCGACATGAAAGCGTTGTGAAACTGTATTTATACCAGAAGAAGAAGAACTGAACTGAACTTAACTTCTGTCCTGAAGCAAACTATTTTTTTTAGAAATTATTCGTACTTGTCACATATAGTCGGTCTCTTGTATGGAATATAAAAAGCTGAGGTAGGGTAAAGTCTAACAATGGGTGATGATTTCTGAATTATTTGCCTAGTTGCAGTACTAAGTGTTCTGATGTTTATATATGTCAAAGACATTTTTTCATTTCTTATTTTCGTCAATGTCAAACAAACGCTTAACTATATTGACCTGCTCTAAAACACTCTCGTGATTTCGATGCCACGAGATTTTACACCACATGTTCTGAAAGTCAAGATACCGGCTAACAGAATAAAATCTGACCATGGATCCTAAAAAAATGGGAGAAGCTCTTGGCCGCATGAAAGGCGGTGGAGGCAAATTTGCAGGAGCTGGTTTAGGCCTCTTAGCGGCGGCTGGTGGCTTATTTGGAATTGCAAATTCATTTTACACTGGTTAGAATTGTTACATCAGAAAAGGGTCACCTTATAACATGTATAATTATTTCAGTTATGTAAACAAATGAAAACTGTCTCTGTCTATTTTACACACAGTGATAACATGTTACAAAGCTTGTATTGTCAAATAGAAAGACACATCATAAATAATTAAAAAGTTATAACTTCTTGGCAAAATTGCCATAGTAAAATAGTTGCCATCTCTTAACTTTTCACATGTAAATTAGTATTATTGTAAATAATTTTTGTATACACATTTTCAACAGATCATGATTACACACTTTTTCAACACACAAAGTGTACAGGCATGTCATGTCTTTACATTCAAATGCATGCCATTTGATAATTTAATGTAATAGCGCAGCTTTTATGTTTTCATTGCTAGAGGTTGGCAGATATGCAGAAATAGACCAAAATATGTGTTGCCGAGACACATCATCTAGCATGACATTATGATAGCCAATACACATTATCGCTATTTAGTCCAATCAAGTAAAAACAGTTACTTAGACCACTTCCTGTTTGGGTCCGATGAAGTGTAGCAAAAACAAAGGTCAGGCTAGGGAAAAATTCTTGTTCCCTAACATTGGAAATTTTTTTTTTTTTTGTGTATCAAATACACCTTATCGCTATTTGTCCGCCATAACTGGACATCACAAAAATTCCCGTAAAATTTTGATGTCATAATAGAAAATATCTGACGCCACAATGGAAAAGTGATTGTTGTATGACGTCAAAAGTTCAAGCGGGACAGATTCAAGCGGGAATAGCTATAAGGTGTATTGTGTTGCTATAGACTATGCGTAGAACAAATATTTAATTACTTGACAACTGGTATTAAACTTAGGTGACTTTAATATTATAAGGAACTGGTGTCCATGTATTCAATCTTGATAGAATACTGGTGCCGAGTTGACCATTTTGGGGGATCTAAACAACAGGGGAGCGAAATGCTTTAAATCATTGTTATCTTTCCTATCAGTTGAGCATTTGGCGATCTAGAAACCAACCCTAGGATGGAATTAATTACTTAGACATTGTTATGCTTCTAAACAACAAAACTGAAACGTATATGAAAAAATATTTGTTAACATTGCTGGATCAGAACAAGACACAGCCTTTTTTTTCTCTTTTTTCCTTCGGTCGAAAATATAAACAACCGGCAGTACAGTACGGGTAGAGACTTATTATTATGGATGTCTTAATCCGTCTAGATGTCAGACTGGCCGGACAGTTGTCTCAGTGTAATTAACACCTGCTGTGATATTAACCTGTACAATATCCGAGTGGAAGGTTGTAAATCAATCTGTACCAGGTTGATTAGAATTAAATTTTACCTGTATAGATATTTTAGTATTTATGGAGGATAGATAATAAATGTAAAATATTGTTTTGTATTCAAAGAAAAAATTACAATAAAAATAAAAATGTAATATCATGAATATGGGATTAACTTTTTTTTAACTTGAAAATGAAAGAAAGACGATTTTTAACAATGTACGTACTGTAAAAATGTGTTGCCAATTATAATAATTGTGTTTGTGCCAATAAACTATTTGTATTTGTAAACCGTAAATATTTCATTTTATTCAAAATTATAACAACCAGGACTGTTTTCAATCGAAGTTTTAATCAAAATGTTGAGACATCAATCCCGTAAATTATACGAGTTTTCGTTGATGGTTACAATATTTCCCCCTTTTAACGTCCTGTTCCTTAAAGTTATTAATTGAAACACAATTTTAAGTATAAGGCCAACATATCATATTTATAAAGTATATAAACAAATTGAATATAGGCATTGTGAATAAACTGTTCTTTTCCTTACGATACCACGTTCCCCGTCGGAGCCTCTACGTCTATTCATACCAGTCAATCATTTCTCGCCAGTAAAACAATTTGGTCAGCCAGATCATCCATGCTTTCTATTTTGACAAATATTTCCCGTTAATCTCTTTGAAACAATTGTTTTTTTACAATATTTATAACGCAGTGATCATCTTTCGATTCCTAGTTTTTATATAAAAAAAACTTTTCATACGCACGTCAATATTCTATGATCCAGCATTATTTTAAATTTTGTTTGTTAATAAATTTACATATAATGGAAATAACAGATTTGTTGACACTCGTTGTATTATAACAAAGATATTGCCTTTCTATTTCCATGTTTGAAATTTTAATGAAAATCGTGTTTTTATACGACCGCAAAAAAATTTTTGTGGTCGTATATTGGTATGACGTTGGCGTCGTCGTCGTCCGAAGACACATTGGTTTTCGCACTCTAACTTTAGTTTAAGTGAATGGATCTCTATGAAATTTTACCATAAGGGTCAATATCACAAAAGGAAGGTTGGGATTTATTTTGGGGGTTATGGTACCAACAGTAAAGGAATTAGGGGCCAAAAAGGGGCCATAAATAAGCATTTTTGTAACTTCCAGACATAACTTGTGTGTTAGTGTATGGATCTCTCTGACATTTGTACCACAAGGTTCCATATCACAAAAGGAATGCTGGGATTGATTTTGGGGGTAATTGCCTCAAAATTTTAGGAATTAGGGGCCAAAAAGGGGCAAAAAACAAGCATTTTTCTAGTTTCATGACAATAATTTGTGTGTAAGTGTATGGATCTTTATGAAATTGTACTACAAGGTTCCATATCACAAAGGGAAAGCTGGGTTTGAGTTTGGGGGTAATTGCCCTAAATGTTTAGGAATTAGGGGCCAAAAAGGGGCCAAAAATAAGCATTTTTCTAGTTTCCAGACAATAACTTGTGTTCAAGTGTATGGATCTCTCTGAAATTGTACTGCAAGGTACCATACCACAAAGGGCAGGCTGGGATTGAGTTTGGGGGTGATGAATCATAAGGGGGTTCAAAAAATTTGGGGGGGGGGGGATTTTTTTGTTTTCCTTTTTTTTTTCTTTTAAAATTTTCCATTTTAAGTTGGTTATTTCTGATTTATATTTAAAAGCAAATATTAATGATATGGTAGGAGATACACACCAAACAGGATGTGTAAATTATTATATAATAAGTATTGTGCACTAGCAAGAAATTTTCAATTGCACAATAGCAAGAAATCTTCAATTGCACAGTATTGCGCAATAGCAAGAAATCTTCAATTGCACAGTATTGCGCAATAGCAAGAAATATCCAATAGCACAATATTGCGCAATAGCAAGAAATTGTCAATTGTACAGTATTGCGCAATAGCAAGAAATATTTAATTGCACAGTATTGTGCAAAAGAAGATACTTCGTATAAATTGCTTATTTCTTGACCAATTTCAATGGGGTTTTATTCTTGAATTCTTGGGGTTCTTTAATATGCTGAATCTAACCGTGTATTTAGTTTCTGGATTTTGGGCCCCGTTTTTTAATTGGTCCACATTGAGGTCCAAAGGGTCCAAAATTAAACTTTGTTTGATTTCATCAAAAATTGAATTATTGGGGTTCTTTGATATGCCGAATCTAACCGTGTATTTAGATTCTTAATTTTTGGTTCCGTTTTCAAATTGGTCTATATTAAGGTCCAAAGGGTCCAAAATTAAACTTAGTTTGATTTTAACAAAAATTGAATTCTTAGGGTTCTTTGATATGCTGAATCTAAACATGTATTTAGATTTTTGATTATGGGCCCAGTTTTCAAGTTGGTCCAAATCGGGGTCCAAAATTAAACTTTGTTTGATTTCAACAAAAATTGAATATATGGGGTTCTTTGATATGCTGAATCTAACCATGTATTTAGATTTTTGATTTGTGGGCCCCATTATCAACTTTGTCCACATTGAGGTCAAAAGGGTCCAAAATTAAACTTTATTTGATTTCACCAAAAATTGAATTCTTGGGGTTCTTTGATATGCTGAATCTAACCATGTATTTAGATTTTGGATATTGGACCATAATAGGTGAATGTCCAATTTAAAATTTTTAAGTTCTTAGACTACATTCATTCTGTGTCAGAAACCTATGCTGTGTCAAATATTTAATCACAATCCAAATGCAAAGCCGTATCAAGCTTGTGTCCATACTTGCCCCAACTGTTCAGGGTTCGACCTCTGCGGTCGTATCAAGCTGCGCCCTGCAGAGCATTTTATTTATAAACATATTTTACGAATTGTGTCAATCAATACATGAAGATCAAAGTTTTACACTATTCACGATCAGCCGTATTTACTTTTGCGTCGTATTTCTAGCCATTCTCTAAAGCTCATGCAGTCAGTAAGATTTTGTAAATCGATATCGGCAGTTTAAATTGTATAATTCCCGAACTTTAAAGGAGGTGTCCGAAAATTATTTAAATAGGAATCTGGGTGTTGACTAATAAATATAATAAATAAAATAGTTAAAGAAGACTAAAGCTTGTTTTGTTTATAATTACAAGGATTAAATTTTCTATTCTGGTAAATCAATTATTAATGGATCTCGATCATGAGCCTCAAAACTAACGCACAATACTGCCAATCATTACGTATCAAATTAAATCATGAATGGATTTTCCCATGGTCGGTCAGTAAGGTCACCTGTGTTAACTGTTACGATATTTCCCGCCATATGAAAATCACGTGCATTTGACAAAATTAATCCCAGCTATTTTTAGCATTCAACATTGTATTGTGAGTGAAGTCAAGTTCAAAGTTCAACCACATGCTGTTGATCACTGATAAGTGTATCATGGAATTGTCTTTTCACGGCAAATATTTTTTTTAGATTGGTGTCAAAAATACAACATACAAGTTAACATGCATTGTGCGTAAATTAATATTATGCAATTAAGAGTCAATGCAGCACCGTAAAATTATCTAAATAGGAGAAATTGCATTTCTTTAAGACTACAAATCATAGTAAATATTTAATTAACTGGTCATCAAACGATTGAATGCTTCTAGTTTTAATGTCCATTCATGTCAGTGGCAATTATTTCATGCATATTTAACAAACACAGAAATATCAAAATAAACCTAATCCCCGAGAAATATCGTTATCTTCTTCTAGTGTTATTATTTGCGTACTACTTTAGTTATATATCACCAACTTTCGGACAATATTTGTTTACAGTAAAAAGTAAATTCACAATTATAAAGAATCACCTAACTACTAGTATACAATTATTGCTCACTGTAATTATTTTTATTTCAGAACTGACCCAACGCAGACTGAAAATTAAATACAAATGTAGTGTTGTCAAACTAAAACGTATGCAGCAGCACTTTGCACATCATTCTGCTAATCAATGGGTTTACGTGGAAAATAAATCAGTAAAACAAAAATAACCTTCCAGAAATTAAAGAGAAAATATTTTAAAAATTGTATGCCAACAAATACGAAAAACATACATAACAAAAAAAAACAGGGAACATAGAAAATAATATTTTGAGGAATATAAACAGCATTTGAAATGCAAAAAGCCATAATTAAAAAAATAGGCTATTTTTATTAAAACAAAGTTGTTTCCAGTACTTCACCTGTAAAAATATTTTATGTCAAATACGATGTAGAACTAATCAATAAAGTGACTGAGAGGTTTAAATCACAGGTAACCTGATTCTGAAATCAGTGAAGCGTAATAATCTTGTAGCACGGATTGAGATGAAAGGACAATTATATTAAGGTTCACACCTGGATCTGTTGATTAATGACCATACTACCTACCATAAAAAAGTCGGATTATTCATTTCCGACATGTCCCAGTCCGTTATTTATAGTAATATGTCTCTACCAGTACTGTATAAGATGGACCTGGTCAGGTTAGGGGAAACCAACAATCATTTTTCCCTGAGGGAGTAGACAGTTTTTGAGGGAGGTGGGAGAGAAAAAAAGATTGTAAAAGTAAGGTGAGAGATAGGGGGGCTGAACGTGTGAGAAGGGTACCCCCCTGTTCACCCCCTCTTCCCTGGGCTCATCAGTCATTGTCAGTAAGGAGCTGAGGGAGAAAAAAGTTTAGAAAGTAAACATTTTGAAACTTTGATAGATTATGATCCACTTTTTTGAAACACAGATCAAAGTCCTAAGAATGCTTTGTTTGAAATGTTTACAATGGTTTAAACCAGGAACATATATATTGACGGGACTTGACACTACCTGATTGTAGTCGATTTTATTGTCGTGCCTTAGTTAATAAAGATACGATACAGAAACGGACATGTGTTAAAAACGGACTCGCTATTATCCTAATAATTTCTGATATTATCAATAAATTGTCATTCAAACTAGTTTTATAGTGATGCTAGTGTATCAAACTTGTATTCTGTCACTTCAAATTTGTTAAAATCGCAAGCATTTCATCACAGAATTGTGCAGAATGCAAACCAGGTAATAAAAAAATGGCGGCCATTGCCGCGATGATTTACAAATTCCAAAACTATTATAAAACACTTCACATCAAATAAATCAAACTTATTTTGGTAATTTTATATGACAAAATATATCTACTAAATGATAAAACTTGTATTTATTTACAATTAGAGTTAGGTGGTTTATTTGTTGAGCAGTTCTGATAGTTTTTCAGTCAGACGCTACCAAAATCCGTAAATCTTGGGAAGTCTCGGGGAGTCCGAGATTTTATCAATTTTATACTGAAAAGCGTATCAGATTCATTTCCCGTTAGATATACTGTTCCCAGTTTAAACATATACATGATATATCTCTTTGAAAAGTTTTATGCATAATACATTTTTAAATGAGGGCCACAGATAGCTTCAACTGGATGAAAAAGTTGTGTAAAATTTTGCAGAACTTATCTGGAGTGGAATAAATAGTAATAAGGCATATGAGACAACATTGACTTGCGGAAAAGGATGTATCTGTTTGGGAGGAATTATTTATCTTGGTCATGTTCGTTGCCATGCATACACCTGTACATTTCAGTATAGCTTACAATTAATTTTAGTCGTAATATTTTTATTGAAAAAAGTGCTGATGTATATTGTAAAAACTTCAATGCATTTTGTTCACGAATGACTGACACAAATGTATAAATTTTGTAACATCTTTATTTTCAGTTGATGGAGGTCATAGGTCAATCATTTTTAGCAGAATAGGTGGAGTAAAATATTCATTGGACCTGTACATTTCAGTAAAGCTTACAATTAATTTTAGTCGTAATATTTTTATTGAAAAAAGTGCTGATGTATATTGTAAAAACTTCAATGCATTTTGTTCAAAAATGACTGACACAAATGTATAGATCTTGTAACATCTTTATTTTCAGTTGATGGAGGTCATAGGTCAATCATTTTTAGCAGAATCGGTGGAGTACAGAAGACCATATATCCAGAAGGATTACACTTTAGAGTACCATGGTTTCATTATCCTATTATATATGATATCAGAGCAAAGCCAAAGAAACTAACTTCACCAACAGGAAGTAAAGGTATGGGTAACCAGTACGGTGTAACAGGGCACCTGACTTACGGTAGTGCAGAACCAGATAAACTTAGTAAAGAAATAAAATGGTAAGGTGTAACGGGGAACATCAAGGAAAAACTTCTGAAATGCTTTCTTTTTAGGTTTAAAGGTTATGTGTCATGAAATAGAACAGCAGAAAAAACCCTAATCAGATTAAACACTTTAGACAACATTGTTACTGAAAATTAAATCTTGGATTGGCTTGTGTTTGAATGTTCATTGTATTCCCAGTTGGAACAACAGTATAATAATGATAATATTAATTATTATACCCCCGCTTTAAAAATGTGGGGTATACTGTTTTACCTCTGTCTTTCTGTCCGTCCGTAAGTTCTTCTATCCGTCCCATGAATATTTTTCATTGCAGCTTTCTCAGGAACTACATCATAAGGATTTCTGAAATTTGGTTTTAGGGTTTATATAAGTCAGCTATAAAGTGTGATGCGTTTTCAGATTCATCACTCAACAACTTCCTGTTTACCGAAATATTTGGGCGGGGGTATCATCAGTGAGCAGTAGCTCGCAGTTTCACTTGTTTTACCTTGTTTTCTTTTTTTTTATGATTGATGAAATATGGCTTGTTTAAATTAAACCAATCAATGTTGATAAGTTCAGTATAAGTTGGTGTATCAACATTAATATATGTTCTCACACTCAAAATGAAAAAGACCAGTTTAAAATACAATAAAGGGTAAACTACATCATGGCAAGAAGAAAAAAAGCCGAGATGGACAGTGGAGCTCAAATTATTACCATGAAGCTTTAGGAAACTAAAATGATTGAGTTGCATGAAAGTCACAAAAACTGATCACTGACCTACATGTATGGCCCTGCAGAAGGCTTAAAGACCACTTTAATCAACAGTTAATATTTGGCAAGGTTGAATTAAGTAGTTAATTGTCTATGGATCGAAAATATAGCAACATTATAAAAAAGTTCAAATTTATTGCAGATTTACAGATGGTGAACATTTCTTTAAGAGTTTTATACAGACCAGATCAGAAATTTCTGCCAGAAATCTATAGACAACTGGGGTTGGACTATGATGAAAGAGTGTTGCCGTCAATTTGTAATGAAGTAAGCTGAAACATGCCCATGAAATTTTCACTTCCAAATTGAAAGCTCAATTAGCACATACAGTCAAACCTGGCTTTACAGTCACCTCGTTTCAGTGGTCACCTGCCTCTGACGGTCACTTTCAAATCCTCCCAAAAGTTTACTCTATATAATTTAACTCGTTTCAGCGGTCACCTGTCTAAGGTGGTCAGTGGTCACCTTACTTTTGCTCGAATCGTCATTTCAACTTTTTGACAATGGTCATCAAAATGATTTTCATGTTTTTAACAACCAAAATATAATCATGACGAAAAATATGTGTTCAGTATCGAGGTAAAAATGAGAATCGGAACTGATTGTTTCCGAGATCGCGCATTGGGAGATGAATTTTTGAATTTCCCGTGTTCCACTCCTTTTAGTTTCCATTGAAAACCGTATCCTCGACTTATTTCTCCATGAATATTTAAAACTATTTCGAATGTTTTTTCAAATTCAAAGCACTGGAATCCTCCATTTTTTATTTGTCTACTAGCACAAACGATAACTCTACCGCTTGAAAACACTAAATCAATTTGCCGTGATCCCGGCCACATGTGATGTCAAAAGTGATTTTTTTTTCAGACCTCATTTAAAAGATCACCTCTCTTGAGCGGTCACTATTGATATTTCCCATGAGTGACTGTTTAATACAGGTTTGACTAATTATAAGCTAACTTCTATGGGGTTAATGAAACTGTTCTGATTAAATATTAAAAAAACAGAATTTCCACACAATATGTGATGAAAAAAAGAATGTGTATCTGTTAATACCTGCCTCCTGATTAACCCTTAAATTGATCAAAACCCGAAAAATGATTGTTGGTTTTCCATAAATTATATTAGAAACAGCGTTTTGTGTCCTATGAGAAGTCTACAAATCATATTTCTGACAGATTATTCAGGCAAATTTAAAATATGAATGACCTTACTAGATTGAAAACATTGTCAGAACATTGAAAATTACAAATCAAGCATTGGTTAATTACTGGATGTGTTGTGTACATCAGGACTTTTAGAAAACCTGTAATTTTTTCTAAAATTTTGTTGATATGCAAAAAAAATATTGACTGACGACTTTATTTAAGCTGGAGGCAGGAAACAGGCATATGTTTTTTAGGCCTTGACATGTATATGGTATTAGCAAGTTAGTAAGAATTTGAAAACTTAGACAAACTTAGTCAATTTTAACATGCAGATAGCATGGCTCTCTTCTAATACAATAGATCCTACGCCATAGTACGCACAAAGTGATTCAGCTAGTAAATGATCTCTCTGGGTGGTTTAAGTTTCATATGCTATTTCAAAAGTGTTCTATGTTATTAAAAGGAGTTGTAAGCAAAAAACTAACTTTCCTGTTGGATTATTGCTTTTGATTTGTATATTTTAAGTAAATGTTACTGAGGGGAAGTGACTTTAGAAATTCAATGTATGAAATGATTATATTTTGTAGATAAAAATTTATAAAAAGATATGATTCTTAAATCATGATGACATTCTTTTGTTATGCTTTTCCAGGTTTTAAAATCAGTTGTAGCTAAATTCAACGCTTCACAATTAATCACACAGCGTCAACAAGTCAGTTTATTAATCAGACGAGAACTTAAGGAGAGAGCACAAGACTTCTACATGATCTTAGATGATGTGTCCATCACAGAATTAAGTTTTGGGAAAGAATACACAGCTGCAGTAGAATCTAAACAGGTAGGAAAACAAATGTAAAGGGAAATTACTGAAGTCTTTAGAATCAAATAAGTGCAGTTATCTCCCATTTACAAAAAAGAACCCTACAAGACAGATAAAGAGGCTGCAGTAGAATCAGTAGGTGTTAAACAAATTTACTCTTGTGAATTTCAAACATACTAGTTTTTTCTATGAACTAGGTTTGAGTTTAAGATTAATTTCAGCAGTAAAATCAAAATATGTAAAAATACTCAAAATTAAAGGGAGATAACTAAACTCCTTAGAATCAAATGGATGCAGTATAATCTCCAATTTTCAAAACAAATTTAGGCAAATTAACTCTTGTGAATTTCATACAAGTTTAATTAGTCCCCTACCGATGAAGTCAAAGGGGACTATAGGTTTGCACGCTGTCCGTCTGTCTGTCCATCCGTCAGTCTGGCAAATCAATTTTCCACACTTTTTTTCTTTGTGCTTGAAGATATTGATTTGATATTTGTTATATAGTTTTACCATGACAAGTTACAGATCAAGTTCCAATTTTGTATGGTTAAGATGATTATTTTGCAGAGTTATGGTCCTCAAACTTTGAAATTCACGCAAATAATCAGTTTCCCACACTTTTTTTTTGTTATGCTTAAAGATATTGATTTGATATTTGATATATAATTTTACCAGGACAAGTTACAGATCAAGTTCCAATTTTGTATGGTTAAGATGAATATTTTGCAGAGTTATGGTCCTCGGACTTAGAAATTAACGCTAATAATCAGTTTTCCTCACTTTTTTTCCTCATGCATGAAGATATTGATTTGATATTTGTTATATAGTTTACACCATGACAAGTTATAGATATAATAAGCATTTTGTTTCAGTGCAATGAACTTTTAACCGGTAAGGGACTATGTATTGCCATGCAATACTCTCAGAATGCTTGTTTTTTTTGCAAACTTGGTATGGATTTTAACATTAATTTTATGATTTTTTTCCATGTAGATTTTAATTTTTAACAGGATTATCAAAGTAAAAATCGGTTATTGATTTGGGGATGTATGGCTGGCGGGCGGCTGCCTTACAATGAAATTTACATGAAACACTTTGAAGAATTTTTTTCAAATTTAGATGTTGTTTCCTGTGACTAAATGAAGGTCAAGTTCAGTTTTCACGATTTTAGCTTTTCTCCTTGTTCAGTTATAGCCCTTTCCTAAGAATTCATTTCAATGAATTAATCCTTTTCTGTACAAAGGGAAATAACTCATTTTTTAAAAGATTTTTAAGACATTGTATTAATGATAAATGACATTTTGGATTTTTTTTACTTGTCTTTGGTAAATTGTTTGAAGAATTTTGTGATAGGTTTGTTTGTTATTCTGTATAAACTAATTTTCTGAATGCTATATATATATATATATATATATTTTTTATGAAGTGAACTCCTTTAATTAGATAATAATCTATTTTTATTATAGGATATATTTCATTACAATTAAAGTTGTTGACATTGATCATAGATAAGTTGCAGATCTGTATTAGTTTGTGACAAATGAAAGAAAAATTATTTGGAACTATTAATTATATTTTGAATAGAATTTGAACATAGATATATATTGTGTTAGGGCTATTCCATTAAAATGTATGTGGGAGGGTAGGAACATTAAAATGTATGTGGGAGCGTAGGAAGGGACTTTCAAAATATCCCTACAACCAAGAACCTTTTTTTAGATAATTTTGCATAATGGTAATAGACGCATACTGAAAAAAGACCCATAACCCTAATTCAATAATTAAACTTCCCTTCCTACCCTCCCACATACATTTTAATGGAATAGCCCTTACATCATATCTAATTTTAGAGATTTATTAATCATATCTAATGTTAAGAGTACCATGTTAAACCATATTTCTGTTCAAAGGGAAATGACTCAAACTTATTCCATGTACAAATATGATAACATCAAAATTTCTTTATAACTATTTTTTTTAAGTCATGTGTGTTATGAAGGTAGATGTCACAGTTGTTATGTGGTATTTTATTTTTGTTGTGTGTGTTAATGTTTAATTTTTACATGATCCTGTTTGGGGTTCAGATTTGCAAATATCGTTTTCATTATTAATTAGATAATAATCTATTTTAAATATTCAATCACAATCCAAATTCAGAGCTGTTTTAAGCTTAGATGTTGTGTCCATACTTGCTCAACTGTTCAGGGTTCGACCTCTGCACAAAAACCCTGTTTGCTGTCACTCGACAGCCTCTTGTTTTAAATTAAAGTGAAAATCTGATTTTGTAGAACTATGCCTATAAACTTTAAATTTTCATAACGTTTTAAGTTACATATAAAGCATGTTTGGAACTTATCTGCTTTTCCTGTACAATTTCATTATTAGCTTGCATTTTTCAAGCTCAATATATCTATGTGAAAAATTGACAAAATTTGATTTTGCTCAAAATTTTAAAAGAAATTTGTACTAAATTATACTACATTTCTTCTATGTTATATTTGCTTCTTTATGTTATTGTGATCCCTGACCTGTCCTTGGATTATTTGATTGATTTCTTTTGATATTTGGTTGTAGGTAGCACAACAAGAGGCTCAGAGAGCTCAGTTTGTGGTAGAGAAAGCCAAGCAAGAAAGACAACAGAAAGTTGTACAAGCCTCCGGAGAAGCTGAAGCTGCTAAACTTATATCCTTTAACATAATATACAACAGCCCGTGTGGATTTTGCTTTTTCCACCGGCCCACCGTGGGCAGTCCACCCGTGCCCACTCTGGCTATAATCTCTTTTTTGTAAAAATATTGATTACAAATGCTTATCTGCTTTTTTCAAGTGATTGTACTTGCAAGTCTTAAGATGAAACAAAAGAAATTGAATGCCCACTCCTACAGGTGGGCAGAGTGGACACAGTACAAATTTTGCCCACCCGGTGCCCACTCCCATGGTGGGCCGGTGGACAAAGCAAAATCCACCCGAGCTGTAGTGTACATTAATAATTGAGTCTGAGGTTTCATTCTATGTAATCGCTTAATGACATTTTTGTCTTTATATCATCTGAAATAACTCTTTAAGTTAATTATTGGATATACAAATGTAAACCTGCTGTAAATCCAGAACTGTTCAGTCACACTTGAGGCAATTCGTTATTTGTTGTTTATACATGTCAATTATGAACATATCTTAAAAATTGACTTTGACCCAAGTGTCTAAACTGTACTGAATTAACTGTGCACAGTGGATAACTATTAGGATTGACTGAAAGACTAACTGGAATTTTACTATATTTATTGGTGAGAAAGGTGCCATACGTTCAAAATAGCTGTTTTAACACAATATATATTTTAATATGTGTCATAGCATGCGCAGCAGCAATTGTAATTTCAACGCTCATCCCATACAAGTTTACACATCACAGAAAGTATAAATATTTGGGAGAACTTGAAGCTTCTAAACTCTTACAATAATTACTAAATATTATCAGATTGTGACCTCTTTCATTGTTGGATAATGGTTCACACATAGACAGAAGTTTACTAATTATAAAAATAAGAAGATGTGGTATGATTGCCAATGAGACAACTCTCCACAAGAGACCAAATGACATAGAAATTAACAACTATAGGTCAACGTATGGCCTTCAACAATGAGTAAAACCAATACTGCATAGTCAAACTATAAAAGGCCCCGAATAAATCTGCTTATAAATATAAAAATAAGAAGATGTGGTGGTATGATTGCCAATGAGACACATCTCCACCAGAGACCAAATGACATAGAAGTTTACAACTATATGTCACCATAACCCATTTTCTATGCAACATACACACTGATTTTTTAAATTGGTTACAGTTTGTGTTATGACAAATATATATCCAAATTACCTGAAGAAGTGATTTTTGTAGAAAAGTTCATATTGAATGTGTTTCTATAAATTGTATTTATGTCTGTAACTCAGTAGGAGCCAAGACTTTGAAGTTTCTAATTCTTTAAGCAACAGCTTGCAATAGTATGGCATTTATCTGGACAGACATTGTTTGTTTCCAAAAGAACAGCAATATTGAAATGTTGAGAAGGAAAAATCATGTTTGAAAATTATTGGTGCATAAGTTATGCTTTTCAAGTGTCAGAATAAATATTTGCAACTTGGATAATTGTTTAAGAATCAGTACAGATATGTACTCATATTTTTTAAAGTAAAGGAACTTTATAAGAAAAACTTATTTAGGCGTTTTTGCAATGCTCAATAGAATAGAGAAAATTTGCATAAAAAATAATGACATCTTTTATTATGTTTGGCATAGGATAGTAGTGTGTCATTATGTTATATGAGGCCCCTCATGTGGGTGTCCAAGTAATCACATAATCACAAATGTTTTTGCCAATATAATCACATAATCATCAATTATTTTTTTAAACAAGATAATCAAATAATCAAAAATACAGTCCTAGATTATCAAATAATCAAATAATCATGAAATATTTGGTCTGGTAATCAAATAATCACTATAAAAACAGCCAAGTAATCACATAATCAAAAACCCCATGAGGAGGCTCTTATATGCTGTCTATGTGTCTGTCCAGTCCCCATCACATGAACAATTTTGATCTAGGGTACTTTACCAAGAAGTGGACGTCACAACAACTTGAAATTTAGTTCACATGTTCATCATGATTGAACTTTTTAGAATTTGCCAAATTTTGTTGTTCACTGATCACATATATGGGATACTCTGAGCAAGGCATAGTGGTCTGGCTATGGACATATACTCTTGTTTAATTATGATTCAGAATCATAATATTAATTGTCCAACAATAGGAAACCATAGTATTCAGTAGCCATGGTAACTATGGCAAGTGATGAAAACTGTGTATGTAGGAGGCCATTGACTGTTTTTCCAAACCAGAGTAAAATCATTGTCTGAAATCTTGGTGGACATATCTCAGTTTGTATGTCTGCTGTAAGGCCAGACATATATAGGGGGCACTGTCATTCAATATGGCTGACTCTAGATATAGTCTGCTGTGATTGATGGAGCACAAAGTTGGGACAGGGGTTGTAATTGGATGCATTGTGGGAAGGGTTTAATACAAGCAGTCAATGGTCTATGATTTCTATCTTTAGTAATCTGATGCCAAATCTGATACTGGTTCCTTCTTTGTAATCTTGGATGCCTAATGTGACTGGTTCCTAGTTTGGTACATTGCTATCTACAATGAAACTGATATTTTAAATATAACCATCATATGAGTTTTCCTTAAATTCTTCCAAAATTGCATTGGGTATTCCAGGGTTTAAAAGCTGTGTCAGCTATCACCTATTTTACTTTCTTAAATTATCTTGTTTGCTGACAAAATAATTAAAAAGTGCTTCATTACTCACTATTCCATCAAATTGACTCAATCTCTCAAATATGATTTATGACACACATTTATATTTTAGAATTAAAAAAGTCCCACAGGAAAAAAAAGAAACAATGCATTAAATCGTAAAAATGTCAATAATTAGGGACTGGACATCAGCTAATTAACCATTATCATGAACTTCTAATTTTGCCAATAGGCATGTGGCTCTTTTATAAATTAAATAGATATATAGCATATGCAATAGTGTAATGACTATTTTTCTGTGAATATATATCAAAAGACATTGATAAAAAAACATAATTGTTTTACCTGTAACCTGTATAATAATGATTTTTTTTGCAGGTCCTAAACAGTTGACAAAACTGGTTTTCATTTTTATAATTTTTGCGGTCGTATATTGGTATGACGTTGGCGTCGTCGTCGTCCGAAGACACATTGGTTTTCGCACTCTAACTTTAGTTTAAGTGAATGGATCTCTTTGAAATTTTACCATAAGGTTCAATACCACAAAAGGAAGGTGGGGATTGACTTTGGGGGTTATGGTACCAACAGTTAAGGAATTAGAGGCCAAAAATAAGCATTTTCTAGTTTCCAGACAATAACTGTGGAACGGTGTATGGATCTCTCTGAAATTATACTACAAGTTTCCATACCACAAAGGGATGGTTAGGATTTGCTTTGGGGGGTTATGGCTCAAACCATTTAGGAATTAGGGGCAAAAAAGGGGGAAAAACAAGGTTGTCCTGGTTAATGGACAAATACTTTAGTACAAAACATAATTTAAAGCAGTGTAAGGAAGATAAATCAAATACATCATTGAAATTATCTCCCTTACACTGCTTTTGAATTATGTATAATGGTTAATGAACAATTAAGATAATTTAAAACAGTTTAAGGGAGGTAATCCAAATACAACGTTTTGGTTACTTCCCTTACACTGCTTTTAAATTATGTTTAAAGAAATGCATATTTATAAAGGAAGACCAGTAAAAATATCTGCAAATGTTGCATCTTTTTTTTCTACAAAAAAATCCATATGAAAGATTTGACACTATATTTTAAATTCTTTTATAAAATAGATTAAGTTAGCACTATGGTAAATTAAAATGGGTAATTATGGTTGCAAACTCCATTGGAAATTTGATTGAGATTATGACCATATCTTGAGGGAAAGAATTTTTTGGGGGGAAAAAGGGGGGGGGGGGGGGGGGTAAAAAGAAATTGTGGGGGGTCAATTTTTTCTCATTTCAGATTTCAGAAATTAAAAAGAATTATTCTTCAAATATTATTTTTTTTTCAAATTTCAAATATTGAAAAATTTCAAGAAGTAATCTTTAATTGCACAGTATGGCGCATTTGATTTGTAAAATCTTTGACCACATTTATTTATTTGTTATGCCGAATCTAACCGTGTATTTAGATTTTTAATTTTGGGTCCAGTTTTCAAATTGGTCTACATTAAGGTCTAAAGGGTCCAAAATTAAACTTAGTTTGATTTTAACAAAAATTGAATATTTGGGGTTCTTTGATATGCTGAATCTAAACATGTATTTAGATTTTTGATTTTTGGCCCAGTTTTCAAGTTGGTCCAAATTGGGGTCCAAAATTAAACTTTGTTTGATTTCAACAAAAATTGAATGTATGGGGTTCTTTGATATGCTGAATCTAACCATGTATTTAGATTTTTTATTTGTGGACCCCGCTATCAAATTGGTTCATATTGAGGTCAGAAGGGTCCAAAATTAAACATTGTTTGATTTCATCAAAAATTGAATTATTGGGGTTCTTTGATATGCCAAATCTAACCGTGTATTTAGATTTTTAATTTTGGGTTTTGTTTATTAAATTGGTCTACATTAAGGTCCAAAGGGTCCAAAATTAAACTTAGTTTGATTTTAACAAAAATTGAATTCTTGGGGTTCTTTGATATGCTGAATCTAAACATGTATTTAGATTTTTGATTATGGGCCCAGTTTTCAAGTTGGTCCAAATTGGGGTCCAAAATTAAACTTTGTTTGATTTCAACAAAAATTGAATATATGGGGTTCTTTGATATGCTGAATCTAACCATGTATTTAGATTTTTTATTTGTGGGCCCCGCTATCAAATTGGTTCATACTGAGGTCAAAAGGGTCCAAAATTAAACTTTGTTTGATTTCATCGAAAATTGAATTATTGGGGTTCTTTGATATTCCAAATCTAACCGTGTATTTAGATTTTTAATTTTGGGTCCTGTTTTTTAAATTGGTCTACATTAAGGTCCAAAGGGTCCAAATTTAACTTAGTTTGATTTTAACAAAAATTGAATTCTTGGGGTTCTTTGA